AAGAAACATTTGCATAGTAATTTGTGCTATAAGAAGAAAGGCCCTTCCTGACTAGCTGGAAGCTTCAGGGTTAGGGAAAACAAAAAGGTGAGGTCAAGACAATGAAAACAAAAGAACGGGTGCCTGGTAAGAGGACAGTCAACATTTCAAACACCACACACCTCTGAACACCGCCTCAGGGACATGAAACCGAGATTCCTCAAGCGTTACACACTTCCCCCGCCAGCTGCCTGGGAAGGCGAACACACTGCCTACCTGGAGCGCTCACAGAGGCAACATCTGCTGTTTTTTAGAGACAAGAAAAAGAGTACCTCTGGCGGAAGGAACTCATGATTCCTTGGGTGCCAAAACCTCAAGTCCAGAACGTACCCAGGAAAGAAAACAGTACATCCTGGAAGTGTAACAGGATGACCTTCTATCATAAACTTCAGTTGTTCTGACTTCTTCAGAGGGTTGACAAAGAAATGTGCTGATCTGAAGTAATGTTTCTTCAAGGGATATGAAAGACAGTAAGCAATGGAAGTTCAGATACTATGAAGCCTACACAGCAAGGGGACAGCAAGCTGCAATCGTATTCTCTTAACTCCAAATGACCTTCCAGTTCTGCGCTTCGCAAGGTCACATGTTGCCAAATTTTCTGACCACTCAAATCCCTTTTCAGGCAGGTGTGTAATTCCCACTCATTCATGCTGTGTACTAGAGCCAACACAGCAGGAAAGGCCTTCATATGTGGGAATTCAGAAGGTGGGAGTGAGTCTAGCACTTCGAGGCTTTGATTATGGAAAATGCAACAAATCTCCTCGCACGCGGTGATGCAAGCTGGAATGGCAGTGCTCAGGTTCCTTCCATAATTAGCTCATGGCTTTCTTATAAAAACGCAACAAAGCAATGCACCCCCAGCCCCTCAACACGCAGCACACACCAATCTCTCTTTGGCCCCTGGTAGACTGGTAGACTTTGCAGTGCTAGGTTAATGGTTGGACTCGATCCTTTTAAGGGTCTTTTCCAACCTAAACGATTCTATGATTCTAAGAGACAGGTGAGGTGAACAGGAACTAGCATCATGTTTCTGACAGCCTGGGAGGGTTCAGTGCCAAACAGCTCAAATTTTGATCAAGCCTACCTTCACTCTGGTATTAAGAGGCAGATAATGCCATAAAAATAATTGTAACATGTTTCAGCTGGGGCGTGGACCCTGAAGGCAATGTTTCTGTTTTAAAGGTTCCTCTAACATCCAGTGAATAATCCATCACTAGAATACACAGCTCTGACTTCATCTGTCCTCAGAAGATGAGACGCATATTTGAAGGCCTTCTAGTTCCCTTCCTGGAAGAATACAGTGCTAGGGTACTACAACAGGTTTTGAATGGGATTCTTTTGGAAATTGAAGGAAGGAAAAAAATTGGTCTTACTGTGGTTATCATTGGGCACGTGTTTTTCAGTAGCTGAGCACCAGTGCAGAATGAGCAGAATACTTATTGAAGAAATAATTTCAACAGGTATCAACAGCTGTGATGATTTTCAATGAAGCATAAAGCCTTATTCTAACACATTTTGCTAGCAGGAGGGTTTTTTTGAAGAAAATTTGGCACATTCTGTGGCCTGGCAGCATATTCAAGTAGCACTTTGCCCTATATGAAACTCACAGAGGAGCTTAGGAGGGGGCCCAACGTCATCTTAAATGCAGGTATCATTTAATCCAAATCCAAAAATGCTTCTTAAGCTCAGCCCTATTAGCAGATTGCTGTCTATGGATACTCTGCTCAGAATCACACATGGCACAGTTCTACCACTTTGAGGACAGTCTCTTCTATGCTAGCCAAAAGCAGGACTTGCATTGAAAAATCTCAAAATAACTTCTTCTCTGTGTGGTTATGTAAGGCTTTTTTTAAAAAAATGATCTTTCAACTCACACTTACTGTGGTAACAGTACAATAATGGTGTTTCCAACAGTGTGCAGCTCTCCCCAAGAGACATTGGAAGATATTTTGTCAAATTAGTTCCTCAACATCACTAAGTCTGGGGAAAAAAGCACAGATCAGTAGTTGGGCCTGTGCCCTTCTATCCTAGTGAAGGTTGGAATAGCATTTCTGCTGATAATAGCCTCAATCAGGCAGTTCTTACTCCAAAGAAAAGTCTTCCTAAAACTCAAGACAAGCCTTCAATTACACAATCACATACTATTCTGGCTTTAAGATCCCCAGAACAGACTGGATGGTGTGTCCTGAATGAAGAAGCATGAAAACAGTTTTAAGTCATTTTCTGAAACAGGAGTAGAAAAGAATGCTAGTTCTCTGTTGAGTTTTTAAAATGAGGTTAACTTTCTCTACAGACAACAGAACACAAAACCACTTAAAATATCTGATAAGTATTATGTAATGCTTTTTTAAAACTTTCCCTGTTCGCTCCAGCTTCAATTGGGGTATGAACTAAAGTCAAGTGGAAGTCTTTTTGCTAACATCAATGGGCTCTGAATTAGGACCTCATTGCTTGCAACCCAGCTTGTGTGCTAAATTAATTCAGAAAGGAGTTCTAATGGCTTCTTTCACTTAACGATCTCCTGAGTTGTGCACTGAGACAGAGGGCCTTTTTTCCCCTCATTTTGGAGGACATTTTGGAGGACAGCAAAGCACAATGTAGCAATAGCTACACTGTGACCTGTATTTTGCAAGTGGAATTTCCAAAAGGCAGAAACTGCTGGCATGCAAACGTGTTACTTTCCAGAGAAAAAATGTTCTCCAAATGTTCTCCAAAACAGAAACGCACTGACAGAAAGCTATTCCAGTACCAACCTAGATTAGGAACATATAAACCATAACAGGAATACCTGTGGACACAGTTTGAAGAAACTGGGCAAGGGGACAGAACCAGTTTCAGAGACCAATGGACATACACACAGCTTTACAGACTGCCCTGTAGTTGAGAAATTATATCTTAACTGTAGTACTTGCAAAAAAGCACTTTCAACAGACACATTCTCCAATTTGGTGTAAATGAGATGATAAGGGATAGGAATACTGATGTCATCCTATCAGTCACTGTCCCCCTGCTCTGGGATCATATGACCAACATAGCTCTGCTGCACAGGAGAATGTTTTATGGACTGTTGTGCTGCCCCATAACTTCAGTTCTACTTAAGAAAGATGGAGTGGAGTTGAAGCGCAGCGCAATGGCCAGCACCATTGTGGGGGAAGACAGCAGGAGCTGCAGACCACTGGGTTTTGTAAGCTTGTGCTGGATTTCATAAAGCATATGATGGCATGCCTTTATCTGATCAGACTAAATAACAATGTTCTCTATACGTGGCAGAGAAACTACATTAAACACATCCATACATCTATCACCAGCCTGTCTCTCATTGTCCAGCATGTGTTTATGCATCCTCTTACAAAACTCCAAAATTGTATCCTCAACTGCACGGGCAAGGACTAAATCTCAAAGGATGCTGCCCTGAATTCCTTGAAATGGCAGTCATCACTGATATGACTCATACCCTAGTTGATGTGTCCAGAGGGGAACCAGAGAGAAACGCTAAAGGAGAAGCCTGGAAACACATAGTCCTCAATGCTAAATACAGGTTTATGGAGAAATCTATCTGAACTTCAGTGATAAACTGACACAAATTTATAGCTAGCGAGCCTTCATTGTCTCATATCAATAAAAACCCAAGTTCTGAGAGCAGGCCTAAACCAGTGATGGTTGGTGACCAGAACTTCACAGTTTGGTGAGCTCTCAAGTACCGCTCCAGATGTAGGGGAAGAGAGAACCCAGCAAACACTGAAATAAAGGACACAGGAATGATGGACGAAAGGATGAATGGATGAAGGGAAAAGGAAGAGCTTTAAACACCTGGGGAAGGCACCGATGCTTCAGCACGTGCACTGCTTTTGACGTAGCACAGGATGAGGTGAGGTCATATTCACAGGTCATGGCAAAATGAAGGAGGCCTAAAGCTCCTCATCACAACCCACATGACACTAAGTCTGAAGGCACAATTCAGTTGAGACATTGGCTCTTTCAGATAAAATGCAGCTTACTCTAGTAATCAGAGAGTTTTTCCCCAAACACAGTGAGCAAGTCTTAATCAGGAACACAATGTCATGTGTGAAGGACATTTTGTTAAAAATACACTGCATGAACTGAAGAAGTCCATTTTTTTCATATGATGTGACATATAATGGGCACTGAACCAAAACACCACAGAAGTATGCGGTTTATGCTATCTCACTGGACTACCAAACAACATTTAACATTGAGGAAGTATTGCAAATATATAGTAGAGGATGTCTAAATTTTACTTTACACTGTTACCATAATGATTGCTTTTCTTCTGTGCTACCACAGTTGTTAAACAGCCTTAATATGGAGCTAATAACACAAGTCATTATAAAACATCTTAACCTCATTTGGAAAATATGTATGAGCTTTTTTGTTACTCCTTCTTCCCTGTCTTCTAATCAAGATCTCCATATTGAGCCCAGTTTTGCGTTTTCTTAGCAGCATAAATTAGAAGCAAATCTATTCAAGTCAATAAAATTACTCCAACATGAAAAAGGAATCAGCCATCTGCAAAAAACATAGTCTAACAGGTAATTTTCCACTGACAGGTCTTACCATAAAACAGGTTACAGAGATTACTCTTTTATCTAACACCAAAAGTAAACAATTAATGCAAAATGTACAATGTCTGTAAAGACAGCATGTTCACTACTTGTGCCCTTTATATGTAATTATTTTAATCTCAGTAAGCAGACAGTTAAGTAAGACTACCATCAGGCTGTAGATGGAGCCTATTCATCATGCAAAACAGGCAGCTGAACATCTCTATTTATTTACGCATTATTTTACCTTTTGTTCCCAGCTTGGAAAGCATGTGGAATCTGAGAGACATTTTCACGCATCATTTCTTGCAGGAGAACGTCAAGTCACTTTTTATGCCCTTAGGAAAACTTCTTCTACCTGATCTCAATAACTGTCCATATCAAAATTATTTTTCATACCTTGTGTAAGCAGCTGGAGGTTTCGGACTTCTTCCCTCACCTTCAGCTGAAGGACTTGCTGCAGAATGTGCTGTCGCAGGCTTTCCTGGGCAATGCCCATTCGTTCAAGCTTTTTGTCAGTAAGTCTCAGCAAAGCACGGCCTGGATGCAAAAGTCAAAAAGAAAAATCACCCAAGGATTTCCACTAATGCGATATTCTCACTCTGACAGGCTAATTTGCTACAGCAAAAATTTGCAGACCTGAAACACCTCACTTTGAGAGCATATTGTTTCATCAGTTAGGTACTTCCTTACTGTCAGGCATCTTTGTTACACTCCTCCCTTTTCTTTTGAGTTTATATATTGTTTTGATGCTTTGTGAGATATTTAGGCACATGAAATACGTATCTTGTGCCATTTTAGACAACTAAGTGCTATTCTTGAGTGCCAGTTGGTCTCCCACAGGTAGGATATCCCCCATAAGTCTACAATTGGTCCAAGTGTCTAAATAGACCCTCATCTATTTTCAAGCATCTAAATTACTGTCAAGAAACCGTCAGTAAAAGTGAATTTGAGCAATTTAATAAATTTAGGATATACTGAGGATGAATATTCTTGCAATTCAGACATGTCTATAGTGTAATAGCACCATTTCTCAGGAGGACCTCTACTCTGTGGTCCAGCTTTCCAAATCCCTCTCAACAGTAACCTGTCACAGCAAAACTGAAGACCCAGAGATTTCCCTTCGCATGAGCAGTTACATCTAAACCATTCCTGAAAAACATGTTTGCCAACTATAAAGAGACTTTTGCCCAAATATAAGGAGCCTATGGTCTTTGCAGGCAGTCACTCCCTGATTGTGACTTATCTTTACCATTAGGGTAATGTTGAACCACAGTCCCACGCAGACTGTAGATGTTAAAAAAATCAAACAATCCACACTCCCCAGATTGTGCTAGTGGAACTCTGACTCCATCTTTTGGGCATCTCTATGCTGTAAGTAAACAGGAGGAAGGCAGAATACTGCCTGAGCCAACACTATGGAATTATTTGGACCAAGCAGAGAACCAAAGCATCAAGCAGAGCTTTAGCTGAGGAAGAAAACCAAAAGTTACTTTCTTTGGTCTTCACCACTGCTGTGAGCTAGTAGAGGGAGGAGAGCCCTGCAGCCCTCTACTGACCCTTGATTCCCAGTATATACATTTGCTATCCAAAGGTGCCCTGGCCAATGCTGGTAAATCACACTGGAGCTACATTGTACTACCTTGGAAAAAGGGATGTTGTTTGGTTCACTTCTTTAAACAGACTCAACTTTTTTACCTCCTCTAGTTCTGACTGTAAGTGCTTTTTAATTATTAAAAATCTCTTCTTTGATTTCTCAGGCTTTATTCTGAAACCAGAAGCCGATAGCGAAGAGCAAGTTACTCCCTCTGCAACACAGCAGCCTCTGTGCTACCATTACTGTGGCTTTTGGATGAATGGTACAATTTAGCTCATCATAAAGTGTTACTCAACACAGCAAGATAAGGCCCTTATTCAATCTCTTTACTTACAAAACAGCAATGAGTACAGAATTTTTATGATTATTTTAATTAAAAAATTTAAGATAAATGCCAAGTATTTAAAGGGGCACATAATACTTGCCCCAAACCAAGCAGTTAGTGGTATACCCTTCACTAACTGCTAGATTTCAGTCACAAACGGTTCTGTGAAGCAGTGAGTGGGATCTTGATATGAAGCAATGTGAAATATTGGGATATTACTATTAACAAAGCAAGATGTTATTGATCAGATAAAAAATGAAAGTGTTCACACATTTTCTGCCCTTTCATGTCTCTCAAGCACTACATGCTACAGAGGATGACCTTTTGATTAGGAAATTTTATTTGAGATCATAAACAAGAAGAATTCTATGGGTTAATGTAATAACAAAATATGGAAATTAGTCTCTTACAGATCAATGCCAGCTGTCCAATTCCTCTGGTGATACAGACAGTAATAATGACTTTAATTTTTATATCATCTTATCACACTAGAACATCTTAAAGCAATTTATAAAGGATGTACAGCAGTCCAAGACTATGGTCTGTAATGTCAACCTAGCAACTGAAAGCAAACAAAAAATAAACACGTCATCAGTTTAAAGAGTGCCAACACGCATGTCATCTTAGGGCAAGGAGTCAACAACAGTAATAAGAAAGGACAGACAGAGGCCACGCATCTCATCTCGTGCCCTCCGCTTCTTTTTGGCCATGGATATAGTCATTACTCTTTACTTCCTCTGGGCAACTCTTTATTTCATATTCAAATCAGTTTTCTACCCTAGTCACTGCCTTTGGAAGTTGAGTGTGCACAAAACAGAGACGTCTCCTTGCATGCCAGTTCCTCTGCCGCTTAGGCTCAAAGCACAATGCCATTGGAAAAAATTGTCTTTGACTCATACTATCTGCAGCAGCTTGCACAAGTCGCCTTAAATTAACTCTTTCTTGCACCAAATCCAATGTGACATGTTGAGGCAGTGGTGAGGCGAGAGGGCAAGCATCCAAATGTGGCATTTTAAGAATACAGTAAGTGACCTGAACTAAGAAAATTCAACCCTCCTCATACTTTCTTCCCCCTCAACGTTCAGAACAACATCCAAGTCAGAACTGGAATAATTTTTTACTCTGGTACTAAGTCATGCCCTTGAAAAGATATCGCTAATGCCTGGATCCTCACCAAAGCCAATTAGTTACTAGGGCCAAGGTCCTGACAATCAGCTAATGATTTTTGATGCTTCACTGTCTTGTTTCCTGTACTGTACATGTCTGAAAGAGTTATCATTTGGTACTAAGAACCCTGTAATGGTTATTGAACATTGAAACCAGTTGTCCAGAGAGCTTGTGGAGTCTCCGTCTTTGGAAACATTCAAAACCTGACTAACACGGTACTGAGCAACCCGCTGTAGTTGCCCCTGCTTTGAGCAGGGGGTTGGACTAGATGATCGCCAGAGGTGCCTTGCAACATCAGCTGTTCTGTGCTTCTGTGAAACAACCTGCATCAAGGATCTCAAGATATTTTCTTTGAAAAAAAGATTAATGAAGGAAATTAATAAGCATACACAAAAGATGGTCATTTTGGCAAGCATCATGGTTAAAACAGAGCTATACAGTAAAAATTGGGGACAGATTTTTAATTTTCAGAGAGTGCTGGATAGGATATATTATCAAGAGCAGAAGCTGTAACAAACGTAACCTTTTCTATGAGTGTGCACTGATCTTTGCTAGGACACAAGTAAAAGAACTTTACTACAACTCAGGAAAATTCCCCAACACTACAGAACTGGCACAACGTCTTCGATGTAGCAACTACATGCATAAAAGAGACTAGGGGAATTTTTTCAAAAGCACCTTGACCAACAGAACCATAAAGATCGCAGACATAAACACCTAGGCCTTGGCTCTAGCTAATTGCAAGGCTGGAAACCAAATGCTTTAAAAAAACCCAAAAACTCCCTCAGTATCTATACGCATCTTTTAGCACCTAAACCTCCGCCCTCTCATACTCAGGACAGATCAGCCGTGGAATGTTCTGAGACACCCCGAGGGCAGACACAGGCTATAAAATACTTTCCAGCATAATAATGGATTGATGGCCTAATTTTTTCTAATATGACTTAGCTGCTGCAGATCTCATTTGATCAAGCTGGGATTAGACGAAAATTTGAACGGAGGGAGAAACATTGCATGCCACAGAACATTAATATGAGTGTAAGCACTGGTCCACTGAGGTTGGCATTGGCCCTAAAGCACGGAATGGGGCACAGCCTTCTGTACCTCATCAGAAATGCTCATACCTCTCTGCACGGCTATAGCCTACTGCTCTTCTCCCCGAGCCTGCGAAGCCGCGCCAACTGCCAGTTCACAGACATCTAGAGGGACACCACGCAAGAAGCCTTGAAAGTACTCTTGTAATGAAGGTGAATGAATAGGTAAGAAAGGACTTATTAAACATGTAGAAAGAATGGAAGAAATACAGGGAAATGAGAGCAGATAGTAAGAGGCTGATCTCACACAAAACACTGAAGAAAACTATGACTAATTTAAAGTTGATGAAGGTGATAAACCACTAGTGGGAACAGACGATGTGTGTGAAATATGGCCAAGAAAGGTGATCTTATCTCCTGAGTACAATATGACAGGAATACCCGAATATCAAGACAAGATATTCAGTTCACTTACCATGGGGCACAGAATCTAGAAAAGAAAGAACAGGGTGGAGAACACAAGGACATTAAAAAATGCCCTAATGCCAGACCAACAGCTCACCAGCCCTGTATTCAGAGTGGCAGTAGAAGATATATTTTAGGAGAGCTATTGGGAGTGCAACCTTCTGAAGTCATTCCCTTTGTACCGTGCCAGTGTCCAGAACTGTTACACCAGGCTTATTAGAGAGTACGGCACTTTTAGCACCTACTTAATGTCCTGATGTCCGTAAATTTGTCTTTTTGATCTTTCTGAGACTATCTGCCTCTGCAGCCTCCTAGGGTAGCAAATTCCAGAAGCTCACTTCCCATTTTTGTCTGTTTTATATTGATTTCTTACTAATTGCTTCAAGTGTTCTCTAGTTCCTGCACTGCAGTATGTGCTTCTGTTCAACATCCATCTTATCTGTCGCTTCCATGATTTCTAAACTTCAGTCATATGCCCTTTGATCATATTTCTGGATGGATCCAGCTGACAAACCTAGAAAAACCAGAACATGGGATTCACTAAGCCCCTAAATATGCAAAATGAAAACTTTTTCAAGTTTATACTTAAATGGAGCAAACACCATTTTAAACTGTTCTTGACATAACAGGATAGTCTTACTTAATTGACAGCAATGTGCTCCTCCAGTTTTAGGGTAGAACAATTTCAAACATACTGCTTTTGTATTTACCTTTTTAGTTCTACATTCATAACTCTAGTTCACTAGGCTTTTCTACTTCTAATAGTCTGATGACAGCTTTCCTCTTGCTTATATAGGCTGACTGTTGGCTTCTCTTCACTTCAGTGCTTAAAAACAAGCCTCCTAGGCCTTATGAAGTAAGAAATTTCTATCACAGAGACACAGACATTAATATCATTGTTCAGGTTCTGGGAGACACAAGTATAAAATTCTCACCATATACTCAGGAAAGA